GATGATGTATATATCTTTTCTAGAAGCTCAATATATATATGTAATTGAATATAATTATTAACACATTAAAAAAAAAAACAAGGCTAAATTATTCAAAGTAGACTTTACCTGCTTTTTCTGAATTCCATTTTTACTTTATAGAAAAAAAAGAAATCAAACATAAAAGCAGACAACTAAATTAATTAAATGCTGAGAGTACACTGATAAATTAGTGTATACAAATGGAACAAAAAATTTGATTTGTTAAGGGTTAACATCTTTAGAATATTTTGTTTCAATAAGGATATTGGTGGTATTATCAAAGTGTGTCATGTGTTTAGTACAATCCTGGGCTACATAGTACTGTGATATTATGGAAATAACATTGGACTTTGAGTAATTCGACCTAGCTTGGTATAAATTCTGCCACTGTCAATTATTAAACAATCATATGAAATATAAAAAAGCACTTTGTAAAATTACAAAGCACAAATATTATTGGTATGATATCAGTACTAAAACAGTTTCAATAAATCAGAAGTATTGAAGACACTTTTCTTATTTCTTACAATAAAAGATTGAATTGGACATACAACACCATCACACCATCACATATTTAACAAATATATATGTCTAATATAAATATTTACTCATGTAATGCAATCTATCATTCTTTCCAGGTAACTAACTTTACATTCTAGAGCTTTTGTTACAGATCACAAATATGTGTTATGTCAGATTAAATTATAATTTTTAAGTATTAGAAAGTTAATAATTTATAATTGATGCCTTTCAGAATTTAAATAAATAACTAAACCACACTCATACATGGAATTTGAGCTGTGAATCCTTGTCCTTGAAAGTAGTTTTCCAATGTAGTCCTATAGTTCTTTAAAAATTTTTTACCAAAGCTTAAATTTATTTGTCTTTTTGATATAAAGCATGGAACCTAAGAAAGTAATGAATGAAACTCGACATTGATTCCAAAAGGTGTAATTTACCATGACTTCAGTGACAGTCAGGTGGTACAGTATAAAGTTGCCAGAGAGCAACACATGCTGCATTGATGATGAAGATGTTTCCTTATCCTCTATAATTACCTTAAAAAATAGCATTTGTCTTTTTTAATTATCACAGAAGCCAAACTAATTCCTCCAAAGGCTAAACATGAATAAAATACCAATGTAAATCTTAGCTGCTTAATCCTTTAATAAGTGAGTAAAAATCATCATGGATTTATGTTTTGAAATAGGCTTATTTTTCCTTCTCCACGTAGGAATTTTCTAATTATGTTTTTAAATCTTCAACATTTAGATCATAAATTGTTATTAGTTATCTAAGCATTATGATAGTCTACTATAAGCCAAGGATGAAGCAAAAACTTGAAATACAAAACCAATTACTACACAGGAGTAGGTTCAAGGGAGTAAATACGTAAGCAAATAATTTAATTATAACGTACTAAAAAAGATGGAAGTAATATGACAAGGTATGGGAGTAAAGAAGATGGAGCTTTGCCTCTGACTAGGAGATTTAAAGAATTTATCAGAGAGGTGTCATTGAGAAATTTAAAAAATTTTACCTTTATTTTAATTTCAATGAATTTACTTTGCTAATTCTTTAAAGAGTAGGTCATTTGTGGTAGTGCGTAAGAAATGATGTTGTGTATTTTGGAAAGCAAAAGACAGATTTGAGAGACATCATTATACTGGATATGGGACGTAAAGTGAAGTGAAGAGTAAAGAATAATTTCAATAGTTCTATCTTGAGCAAAGTTGATAGTATTGAATTAACCAAATTAAGGGCTGGCTTGGAGAAAGTGATAATGAGTTTGACATAGGTCATGTAGAGTTTGAGATACTATAGGGTCTCTAGGCAAATATGTCAGGGAGACAATTGGATACATGTGGTTGGAGCTCAGAAAGAAGTAGGATCTAGAATTGCATGATCTGATATAGTAACTGCTAGTCACATGTGTATTTAAATTAAATTAAAAAAAATTAAATACAATTAGAATTTCATATTTTCAAACTCATTAGCCACAATTCACATGCCTAGTGATAACATGGCTAGTGGCCACTGCATTAAACAGATTATAGAACATTTTCATCATCACTGATAATGTAGATGATGTTACCGTGGCAACATTTATGCAGGGGAAGAAGAGCGAAAAGGGATAGGACAAAAGGCCCAGGTTAGAGTGTTTCACGTAATCCACAGGAAAAGAGTATCATAAAAAGAAGAAAATGTTCAAAAATATATCTACCCACTATATACCCATTAGAATCAGAAACCAAAACAAAACAGAAAGTAACAAGTATTGGTGAGGACAGGAGAAATTAGAACCCTTGTGGACAGTTTGTGGGAAGGCAAAAATGGTACAGCTGCTGTGGAAACAGTATGGAGGGAGATTCCTCAAAAAATTAAAAATAGAATTATCGTAAAATATACCAATCCACTTCTGAGTCTATATCACAGAAAATTGAAGGTGGGCTTTTGAAGAGGTATTTGTACACCCATGTTGATAGCAGCATTACTCACAATAGCTAAAA